GAGCATTGCTGAGTATCGACCCTCAAGACCAATGATATGCGGTTGCGGCTCTGATACCTATGGGTTGTTATTCCGCTTAAAGGGCAAGTCCTCTCGCCCCGAGACGATTTTCCACCTCCTAGATGAAGATGTTATCACAGCAATGTAGTTCTGATCCTCGGCGGAGTGTTCTTCCCAGGCTGCTTAAGCCTTGCCAGTTGTCTTGACCGGTATCGACAGCATTCTGAGGAGTTGGGCGACGCCTGTCGATATGTGCGCGACAAAGCGGGATGACGCACCAGATGCCCTTGGGCAAGCCAGGCATGGCGGATTTGGCATCTCGTTTTGGGAGAGCATTTATTAACAACATGTATTCAAGCGCAAGCTCCCCTGATTGACAATGGCAGGGTTGCTGGGGGTCTTCTGAATGGTAGACACTGACCCGAATCACGCACCGCTTGACAACCAGCAACAAGATGATGAAGTTGCCATCGGAGAATCATACTTGTGCGGTCCCAAAGACTTTTGAATGTCACGCGGGTTTACGCAGTGCAACCCAACGTAAACCCTTTGTAAGGTCGATGTTCGAGAAGTCGTTGACTTGTGAAGTCAGGGATACCGGGTTGGTCGGGTCAATGATCCAGATGGAACGCCCCCGCCTAGCCAATCACTGGGGAGCCGTGACATCCCTTGGTGAAGGAGCGTTCAAAGTCATCCAGGTAGGTGTGTATGCTCACGATGGTGACGGTTGGCTGGAGAGCCTGTGGTAGCTTACGCCCCGGGCGGCGACATGGCGCAACAAGTCCAATTGCCTAGGAAAACACTGGATTGGGCTGCCTAGCGAGCCCTCGTGAGGCCGTCTTTCAGGGTTTGATAGTAGATCCCAAAGTTCAAATGCCTCGATCGTGAAGTGAAGTCGCAAAAAAATTGCTCTCCACCAAAGGAGCCAATTCACACAGCCCCCCACACCCGATCCAATCTCGGTCGGGCTGAACCGGGTCAACTCAGCCAATTAGCGCAGCGGCCTCAGGCCAACGGGGTTGCCGGGGCAAGTGAGAAATGGGGGTTGGGGGGGTGAATTGGCCCGGGCGGCTGCTGGGCTTGCAAAGGGGAAGGCAAGAGCGACAGGCCAATGTATCCACTTGCGCCCCGGGCCAGTGCGTGCTGGCCCGGGAGGAATCGCTCAAAAGGCGTTCGCTGCCAGAAAAAAATCTTCCTTCCATTTCTTACCTCCCATCCAGTCGACGACTGCCTCTATTACCTGTCTTCATCCACCTCCGGTTCATCGAAACCACTCTCCCCTCAATCCTTTCTTCGTCAGGTTATTCCGTTGAAGCAGTCACAATGTCCGTCGAGAAGCAGACCGTTCTGGGCATGCCGGTACGTGAATCCCGTCCTCTTTTTCTTCACGGTTCGCCAAAATCCCTCGCGACGACGACGCTCGAGCCCGATTGTCCATCATCACCAATGCTTCGTCGGACAACTCCTCATTCAATTGACCATTTGTGGACGATTGGCTGAAGATCGATGCTGGCAAAAAGGGTCTGCGCGCGAAGAGGCATTTCTCTTTGCGCGCTGCTTTTCGTCCAAGCCCGAAGGCACCGAAGCATTGGAGGTCGACGCGAAGCATCATGACTTCCATCAACACTACCAGCACGGTCAACACTCTTCTGTACAACAAGCTAACGTTTCGTCTCGCAGCCCTTCGTGGCGGATTTCCTCATGGGTGGTGTCTCCGCCGCTGTCTCCAAGACCGCTGCCGCCCCCATTGAGCGTGTCAAGCTCCTCATCCAGAACCAGGATGAGATGCTGAAGCAGGGTCGTCTTGACCGCAAGTACGACGGCATTGCCGAGTGCTTCAAGCGTACCGCCGCCGACGAGGGTGTCATGTCCCTGTGGCGTGGCAACACTGCCAACGTCATCCGTTACTTCCCTACCCAGGCCCTGAACTTCGCTTTCCGTGATAAGTTCAAGGCCATGTTCGGCTACAAGAAGGAGCGTGACGGTTACGCCCTGTGGATGGCTGGTAACCTTGCCTCCGGTGGTGTAAGTTCTGCCCCGATGCCTGTCGCCCAATCAGCGTGCTGACATGTTCAAGGCTGCCGGTGCCACTTCCCTCCTCTTCGTCTACTCCCTCGACTACGCCCGTACCCGTCTGGCCAACGACGCCAAGAACGCCAAGAAGGGTGGTGAGCGCCAGTTCAACGGTCTTGTCGATGTCTACCGCAAGACCCTCGCCTCTGACGGTATTGCCGGTCTCTACCGTGGTTTCATGCCCTCCGTTGCTGGTATCGTTGTCTACCGTGGTCTCTACTTCGGCATGTACGACTCCATCAAGCCCGTCGTCCTCACCGGTAACCTTGAGGGCAACTTCCTCGCCTCTTTCGCTCTTGGTTGGGCCGTCACCACCGGTGCCGGTATCGCTTCTTACCCCCTTGACACCATCCGTCGTCGCATGATGATGACCTCCGGTGAGGCCGTCCACTACTCCGGTGCCTTCGACGCTGGTCGCCAGATCGTCGCCAAGGAGGGTGTCAAGTCTCTCTTCAAGGGTGCCGGTGCCAACATCCTCCGTGGTGTTGCCGGTGCTGGTGTCCTCTCCATCTACGACCAGCTCCAGGTCCTCCTCTTCGGCAAGGCCTTCAAATAAGCGATTTCGCTCCACAACAACAAGAACAAGTCGGGCGGTGGTATAATGACGACTGCCTGATGGAAGGCGAGGGGTGTGGCCAAGGGTGGCCTGGAATAGACAAGGATGAGTGGCTCGCGGGGTGCGAGGGAAGCTGCAGCAAAGATACCCAGCCATCAAAATACGGTGGTCGCCTGGGTCTTTGCGGTTAGACTGGCATCTGGCAAGGCGTTTTCTTTCCCTGAACTCGCTTTGAGTGCGCCTTGCTCGCTGTAATTATACGTCTCCAAAGGGAATTTCCTGATTGTACTCCATACTTCTGTTTCCTTGCCTGTGAACTCGAAATGTGCTTCTTGTATGCTTGGCGAAGTCTCTTTTCCCAAGTGATCGCGTGACTTCGTGTCCTCTCGAGTTAGTTCTGATTGGATACAATGTCCCAGATAAATGGACCCACATCGACTGCATGCCCAACGCGCGTTCAGTGAGATGCGCGGTGCTGCACCGTGCCTCTTGCGCGGGTACAACTTTGCGTCCGTCAAGATAGGTTGACCGCCTGGCTACAGGTACAGCGTCCAGCGGGCGACTCGCAGTAGGCAAAGATCACCAATTTGCAGCAGCTTTAAACTGCTGTTGCAAGGCGTTCAGGACCTGCCGAGTTTGTCCAATCACGCAACAACTTGTTGCATCGACACGAGGGCATCATCATCGTCTGTGCAGTGCCCCGTCTGGTTCCATTCGTTGCGCACATCG